ACCATTGTTGGGTGGTGCAGTGAATAATCAGATAATGAAACTAGAGTCCTTACTGTTTCACAGCTTCACCACTTAAAAATTGCCAGACTACAATAATTTTTAATAAAATTTGGAATTTTTACTTTCATAGTAATTTAGGCCTGAAATTATAGCTATGATCTACTCCAATGCCTTGATTACCAAAAAGAAAAAAAAGTTCCAGGTGAATTAGTTGCTAGTGGCAATATTGGAGCCCAGGTCTCCTCATTTCAAGGCCAGAATTAATTTGGCTTTTCCTTTTAATGTCTGTCTTTAATCATAGTAATATGATTTGACAAAATATTCAATTATTTAGTATATTCTATAATAAAGTAAGAACTAATTTAGAAAATACCTTAGAATTTCAGTGAACTGAAATATCTGTTCATTTTCCACACATTTGTAATAAATTTTTTACTAAAATGTGTTATAAAGAAAATAATTACTAGTAAGAGGTTGATATTTTATTATGAAATTATTATAATGAGAATTACTTTCTAAGGCTATTAGACTATTTAATTCCATCCAATATAATAAAAGGCTAATATGCAAATTGTCCCCTCGGGAGTTTGACCGACCGGGAGTTCGACTTCTCGCTATGACGTGCAGTGACCACCAGGGGGGCAGCACAGAATGAAGGAAGGCCCCGGCTGGCAGCTGGCAACCAGGGGAAGGAAGGCCCTGATTGGCCCTGATTGCTGGCCAGGCTAGGGACCCTACCCTTGCATGAATTTCATGCACTGGGCTTCTAGTATCTATACTAATAAAAGACAAACATGCAAATTGACCATGCCTTTACTACACCTTAAGCCACACCCACCAGCCAATCAGAGTGACTATATGCAAATTAACCCAACCAAGATGGCAGCCAGCAGCCACGGAGCTGGGGGCTTGGCCAGCCTGCAAACAGCCATCAGCCCCTCACCCAGGCTGGCCAGGCACCCCAGTGGGGACCCCCACCCTGAAGGGAGTGTGACCAGCTGCAAACAGCCATCAGCCCCTCACCCAGGCTGGCCAGGCACCCGGGACCCCCACCCTGAAGGGGGTGTGACCAGCCTGCAAACAGCCATCAGCCCCTCACCCAGGCTGGCCAGGCACCCCAGTGGGACCCCCCCCCCCCCACCCTGATTGGGACACCCTTTAGGGCAAACCAGCCGGCCCCCACCCATGCACCAGGCCTCTATCCTATATAATAAAAGGGTAATATGCAAACTGACCCTAACAGCAGAATGACTGGGAATGACTGGTCACTATGACACACACTGACCACCAGGGGGCAGACACTCAATGCAGGAGTTGCCCCTTGGTCAGTGTGCTTCCACCGGGGGAGCTCTGCTCAGCCAAAAGCCAGGCTGATGGCTGCCAGTACAGCGGTGGTGGTGGGAGCCTCTCCCGCCTCCTCAGCAGTGCTAAAGATGTCTGACTGCAGCTTAGGCCTGCTCCCCGCTGGCAAGTGGCCATCCCCCGAGGGCTCCTGGGCTGCCAGCGGGATATCTGATTGCCAGCTTAGGCCCAATCCCCTGGGGAGCAGGCGTAAGCCAGCAGGTGGTCATCTCCTGAGGGGTCCCAGACTGCGAGAGGGCATAGGATGGGCTGAGGGACACCCCCCACCCCAAGTGCACAAATTTTTGTGCACCGGGCCTCTAGTCCTATATAATAAATAGATAATATGCAAATTGACCATCACTCTAACACACAAGATGGCCGCCCCATGTGGTCAAATATGCCACCCCCCTGTGGACACAAGATGGCCGGCAGGGGAGGGCAGTTGTGGGTGATCAGGCCAGCAGGGGAGGGCAGTTGCGAGGGACCAGGCCTGAAAGGGAGGGCATTTAAGGGTGACCAGGCCTGCAGGGGAGGACATTTGGGGGGTGGGGGGCCAGGTCTGCAGGGGAGAGAAGTTAAGGGTGACCAGCCCTGCAGGGAAGGGCAGTTGGTGTTACCAGGCCTGCAGGGGAGGGCACTTGGGGGTGACCAGGCCTGCAAGGGAGGGCAGTTAATGGTGACCAGGTCTGCAGGGGAGGGCAGTTAGGGGCAATCAGGCCAGCAGGGGAGCAGTTAGGCATCGATCAGGCTGGCAGGGGAGAATAGTTAGGGGTGACCAGGCCAGCAGGGGAGGCCAGTTAGGGGCAATTGGGCCGGCAGGGGAGCAGTTAGGCAGCGATCAGGCTGGCAGGGGAGTGGTTAGGGGGTGATCAGGCTGACAGGCAGAAGCAGTTAGGGGCAGTCAGCCAGGCAGGCAGGCGAGCGGTTGGGAGCCAGCAATCCTGGATTGTGAGAGGGATATCCGACTGCCCATTTAGGCCCGATCCCAGTGGATCCCAGATTGGAGAGGGTACAGGCTGGGCTGAGGGACACACATCCCCACCCCCTGGGCACGAATTTCATGCACTGGGCCTCTAGTTTTATAATAAAACTTATCCTAAATCTTTCAAAGGCAAAATGAGTCTGTTTTAGTGAAATGAATTCTAGAACTTTTATTATTTCCTGGATGCTATTTTTATTTCTGGGTCATTCCCATATACAAGTTACAAAATTTAACTTGCAAAAGGAATACAACTAACATTTTTTTCTCTAGTTTTTCAGATTTTTATGAAAGACTATTCAGCCATTATCTGCTAAAATTATTTATTCTATTACTTTATTGAATTTTTTATAATTCTGAAAAATGACATGTTTGGTTTGTTCATGTCCTATGGAGTTGATATTAAATTAATCAAAAGTTTTGGGAATACCCTGTGACTGATTCCTGGGCTTCAGTGACATGATTGCGAACTTCCTCTACTGATCAGAATGAGTTCATCTGTTATGAAGCTCTATTATTAGTATTTTCTCAAATATTTCAAGATCTACATAAATTTTAGGAATAGATACTAGAATGATATTTTCCCATATTAACTTAACCCCTTAAAAGTTTTTAGTTTAACTATTTTGAATTTTCTTGAAGATATTTTTCTAAGAAACATAATATCTTCATTTATATAAATATATCAATTTTATGAGTGGTATTAAGAAGCTTTTAAGGAAGAAAGACCATTTTAAGTAGTTGCTCCTCTTACAATAGTTTTAAATTATAGTAAAGCTTAAACTGAACTGGAAACATTCAGATTGTAAAGTTAACAAGAAAAATAAACCATAAATATGTGTAAATTGTTGGGGTAATTGTGGAACACTTAATAGATTGTGATTTGAAAAGCAGCCAGACATTTGGAAAAGAGTAATACTATGGATACAATTATAGATGTGGGAATAGAAAATGCATGGGCATGATCTATATATATAAAAGCCTAAGTGACTGTTACGACTGAACGACCAGAATGACCAGAACGATTGGTCGACCAGTCGCTATGATGTGCACTGACTACCAGAGGGCAGACGCTCAATGCAGGAGCTGCCCCCTGGTGGTCAGTGTGCTCCCACAGCCAACTTCCCGTGGCCTCTCCCCCAGCTGGCTAACCTCTTGCAGTCCCTCCCCCCTGCCGGGCGGCCTTCCCAATAGGCCCCGATTGGGGGGTCGGCCGGCCAACTTCCCCAGGTTCCTCCCCAAAGCCAGTTGGCCCCCCGATAGGCCTCGATCACCTGCCAGGCCGAAGGACCCCACCCATGCATGAATTCGTGCACCGGACCTCTAGTTAATCTATAATAGAGCAAATGATTCCTAAGTGAAGTGTGGAAAATAAAGCTGAGGAGATAGATAAACACCAACCTGGAGATTCTGGGATACTGGGCTTTACCTTGTAGGCAGTGACTCAGTAATCAAAGATTTTTGTCTGATGAGATTATATATGTAAAGCAATTTTGGAAGAATATATATTCAGTATTAACAAGTGGGATTGATTGGAAGACTGGGGACTAAAGACAAAACGAACATTAGTAGACTAGGCTTGAGGTGAATAGGGTTTGTGTAGTATGCTTCTTGTGCAAATGAAAAGAAGAGCTGGGACCCGTAACAATGTAAAGGAAGAATTGATAGCAAAGAGAGTGCAGTCCTAATAATGACTTGGTAAAGCACAAAGGGAAAAAAATACATTAAAACCTTATGCCTGTATATCTAAAAGGGGCAATCAGAAAGTATTTACCAGTTTTCAATGAGAATATACTAAGATCATTTGGCTAAAGATCAATATGGGTAAGATGACTAGTAAAATAAGTAATTATTTTCAGAAACGCAAGCATATTCCCTCTCATGTAATTGTGATACCATAAAATCACTTTATTCTCTCAGTCAAGTAAGCACCAGCTTATTTGTGTAACAAATCAAATCTGGGGATACATGAGGACCCAAGAGACTTCCCTAATAAAAGACCATTGTACATCAAATACATTTTTCTTTGCAAAATATCTTACAAATGAAGACAAACTACAGTTATGAAATACAAGGAATCCATTGAAAGAGTATTTTATTAGAAAAATCCGATTATCAAATATTTTTATTAGCATAGTATTGGATATTGTGTCATCTGCCAAGAAATAGCAGCTATTTCCCTCATATGCCAGGTTGAGAAGCCATATTGAAACTGTTGATCAAGACTTTAAGGCCAGAGCAAAAGAGTAGATGAGGAGACAAAGACTGCAACAGGCATCCAGCTCCACAGCTGGGCGTAGGCTAACTCTTGAGATCAATGACTAAATTGAAAAATAGCAAATCAAAATGTTGTCGCAAACTAGACAGAACTTTAAAAACTGTCTGCCCAAGTGCATGTCTGGTATTAGTCATCCTATTCCTTGCCCACTGATACTCTCGGGCTTTCTTTACTCGCCTTTGTCCTGCATCGCCCTGAGCTCTGCCTGAGGTCAGCCAGAGGGCGCAGAAAACATTGTACCCAAGTATGAGCATCACCGTTTCTAACCCATGTTTTGCATCAACTCTGGAGGTTGTGGCTCATGTTCAATTTTAAGAAATACGGGGAGAAGGTGGCTCACAGCCTAGAAGAGAGAAACAGCAAAAAGGACTTTAAACAAGCCTTCTATCTCTCTCCCAGTGCTCAATTACCTGTGGCAAAGGAATGCAGTCCCGTGTTATCCAGTGCATGCACAAGGTCACAGGACGACATGGAAATGAATGTTTTTCTTCAGAAAAGCCTGCAGCATACAGGCCATGCCACCTTCAGCCCTGCAATGAGAAGATTAACGTAAATACCATAACATCACCCAGGCTGGGTAAGCTGACCAAAAGGGAATGGTTTTGAGAAATACGGAAATACTCATGGTTTCTTCTATTTTGCACATCACTTTAAAGCTTAGTTTTAAATGGATACTAATTAGTTTGGTCCTAACTAAATTGACTCTATTTTACTGTGGGTTCATCCAGATGGCCAGGTGGGTAAAATATCGTGAAAAATAAATTATTTTGATCCCTGAAGCTGTCTACTCAGAACCAGACCCTGGAAATATGAATGTCATACCACCCAAGCTCATCATGTAAAGGGTTGAAGGGTATAACTGTATTTTGGGTTCTGACCAGTCTCCTGGCAGAACTATCAATTAAGGCAGTATCTAGTTCAGTGGTTCTCAACCTTCCTAATGCCGTGACCCTTTAATACAGTTCCTCATGTTGTGGCGACCCCCAATTTCATTGTTACAAATAGAACATAATTAAAGCATAGTGATTAATCACAAAAACAATATATAATTATATATGTGTTTTCCAATGGCCTTAGGTGACCCCTGTGAAAGGGTTCGTTCGACCCCCAAAGGGGTTGCAACCCACAGGTTGAGAACCGCTGGTCTAGTTGAAAGGTACTTGTAGTATATACCTTAGATCTCTCCACTGTCAGTATCCTTCCTTGTGATCCTGGGTACAAATTATCCTTTGGAGAAACTTAGAGTAAAAAATGACTTTCAAGACAAATGGGTACATTGGATCTATATCACTCAGCAAAAGGTACAATTTTGTTCATACTTAAGGACATAATATGACATACAAATAGCTACTAGTAACATTGATTCCAATGACTTTTATGTTGTAAAATGCTTTCATGTGTATTCTCAATACCTGTCATTTAATCAGCCATCATGAAGAAGTAGGGTATGTATTTTAATTAAATATAGCCTGCACTTGCATAACAAATATTCATGAACGAGTTAGCCTTTATGTCTGTGGCAATTAGTGGCTTTTACCAGCACTGCTGCTTGGCTGTTATTGGGTTAGTCTATGTTTAACACCTTCCGTTTTGATCTGTGCACATAATCTTCAGGAAAACAATTTAATCGTAAATTCTTATAGATACTCTTCCAGGCATAGATTCAATCAAATGGAAAAGTTTGGTTCTTCAAAAAAAAAAATGCTCTTTTTTGAGCCAAATAATTAACATTTCTAAGAAATAATCAGTTCAAGGAGAATTAAGACTAGAGCAAATGCAGCTAAATCCATGTATTTCAAACAACATAATCCCTTTCTCCAGCAATTACTTGGAGTTCTTCTTGAAGTATGTGGCAAAAAATAATGACCTCAAAGAAGAATTTAATTAGAATTGCATTGTTTTGTTTATTATTTCTTGACAGTGTACCCCTAAACACAGAAGCACAGTGATCGGTAAATCTAAGGTTTCTAAGTGTAAAATAATGAATTATATCAGAATAGTGGCAAAAGAAAGAATTGTAGCAGGACTGACTTTTATTATGCATGCCAGAACACACTATTTCTTCAGAAAACCTGAGCCTAAATTTACATGACCAATTTTTTTGTATCGAATTCCCATTTTAAATACTTGAATGCTATAAATTTCAGTCACATGATAAATGGCTTTGATGTTAAAGGTGCATTAAATCACTATCCCACAAACAAAATAGAAAGACTCATACTGTAGATACAGAGAACAGACTCACAGTTGGCAGAGGGCGGGGGTTTGGGGAACTGGATGAAAAAGGTAAAGGGATTAAGCAGAACAAATTGGTAGTTACAGAATAGCCACATAGATATAAACTGCAACATGGGGAACATATTCAATAATATCATAGCTATGTATGGGGTCAGCTGGGTGCTTGAAGAAGAGGGGGGACCACTCTGAAAAGTGCATGATTTTCTAAGCACTTTGCTGTGCATCTGAAATGATATTGAGTGTGAACTGTAATGGAAATATAAAAAAAGAGGAAAGAATAAAATAAAATGTGCGAGCATATTTTTGTTTTGCTATTTCTTTGCAAACTGACCTATAACAATACTTATTAAATTTCATTCCCATAAAGGTAGATATATTGAGCACATTTATTTGTGTTTTTAATCTTCCCAACTAAAAATCCAAAAGAAACGTAAATGAAAACCGTAAAATTGATCCTTAAAAGCCATTTACAGGACAATTCATTGAATTTGGGAATATCTGTGAAAGCATTATTCATTCACTTTACTCCTTTATTTCAGGGTGTGTATGTGTGTGTGTTTGTGTGTGCATAGCTCTGTGTTTTAAGTTCCACAGGGAGTATAAATGAGTCAGTGGACAAAATCCCCATTTACATGATTGCTGTTTACTTCTACTCATGACACCTGGAATATCTACCTGTATTGAGTTTCCTGTGTTCTGCTTCACAGCTGCTCTGACTTTCAAGTGCCTAGGAGATCAATGGCCTGTGTACTGCCGAGTGATACGCGAGAAGAACCTGTGTCAGGACATGCGGTGGTATCAGCGCTGCTGTGAGACGTGCAGGGACTTCTATGCCCAAAAGCTGCAGCAAAAGAGTTGACCTCTAGCAGGCTGGCTGGCTCACAGCTCTTTGCAATTACATTATTTATAGACACACACACTAGCATGTTTTTCAGACCAAATATTATCAGATTACATATAATTTAATCAAATTAATTTATTTTGGGGCCTGCCTAACATCAATATGGTGCTTATTTTGGTAATACAAACATTGTGATTTATACTATAGGGCTTCATAAGTCATTTTTTATGAATAAGTTGAATCCAGTTACCAGAAAAAGAAAATTAAGATTGGTAGGCTTAAAAAAATGTTTTTTAAGTTAGGGCTGGCTCTAAGGTGCTACTCTCTCCACACCAATACCATTGAGTTATGCATAATGTATACTACTAATTTAGCATAATAGTTTAGCTATCTATGGGGGAAATTATTTTTGTGTCTTGGTGTCCTAATACAGAATTAGCCCATTTTCTGTACTCTGAAGGAGATGTGTCAACATAACAAACCTCATAGTGTTGAGCAGGTTTTAGAGAATGTATTATGAATTTGGTTCAGACTTAGAGACATCTATAGGAAAAATTCTACTGTAATTATATCCTTATTTTAATAATGGAAAAGAAAAAATCAAAATAGAGACTTTGATCATGTTCACGAACATGTACTTGAACACAAGTATTGTAACAATGAAACACTGTAATTAATGATTTACACTGAATCATCATTGCACTGTCGATATAGTGTAGAGAAACCGTTATGGAAATGGTAACACCCTACAAAAATGTGTATTATTTTTAACATGTTGTCATTAGATTTTAGCTTTTTTAAATATTTTGAAGAAAGAAAGCATTGATCCACCCATTTCCTTGTATTTTTTTTTTTTTTAGCAGATTTTAAAAGAATATAGTAGGTACTTAAGCCTCACAAATCATGAGAAAACTTACTAAATATTTTTCAGCCTTTTCCCTAGAAACAAGGAAAGACTAAAAGCTGATAATATTGTGGTAGTTTCATTGTGTTTTTTCTGTATAAAAATTAAAAAGTTTTACAATTCTGTGAAACGTTAAAAAAAAAACAGCTTAAATTTTTTCTTGTGAGAAAATATTGTACATGATTCACATGATTTCTTAGATTTTTTTTGCAATAAAATATGTGAAATTTCCTTTTGGGAGGCAATTCTTCATAGGTCTCTCATGTTTCCACAAGTCTTGGCACTGTCTGCTTTTGTTCTGGAATATCTTCTAAGGGATATTTGTATGGTGAACAGCTTTGGAAGATAAAGTTCGTGTCTCTCTTTGGAGCAAAGGGCAGACGTGTTTATTTCTCATTATAGAAGTTTCACAGTCCCTAAATGGGGCCCCTCACCTGTAATACAACGCTCTGCATGTGTAGGTATCATGTCTTCTTTATGTCTGGTGCTTCCATTGGCATTACTACCATGAAAGCCCTCATGCCACACAGATCATGGCATCAAAAAGGGGAAGATGGGGTTTTGCCAGTTTATGTTTTTTTAATTAAATTTGTTGAAATAACATTGGTTAATAACATTATATAAATTTCAGGTGTACAATTTTATAATACGACATCTGTGTACTATATGGTGCTCACCACTCGAAGTCTTTTGAGTATGTCTGTTTCAAATAGACCTTCCAGAATTAGGGAAGTTACCATGGGGTAGGCTCAGGGACTCTTGGGTCCACTATGAGACAGATTTAAGCCAAGCTTGATCCAGTTATCTGACTTCCATAAGCTTTTTCTCTGACTGTGGGACTGCAGTGGCAATGTAGTGTCACCAAGAATCCAGGAATCATCAAAAAGTCAGATTATTTTCCTTTCCCCAATATGTAGTTCCCATCAGGAAAGACTAGAAGGTAGATTAACAATATGGGTTTTGGACAGTGTAACAAAATCTTTCCCCAAAGGATCTGGCCTCCCCTTCATTCAAGGAATTCTGGATCTGTGAACCTGCTCTCATGTGGAATTTGATCTAGAAATGCAATTCCCTGCTATGGTGAGTCAAATCAGATTTCTATTCACTAAGACTAGAAATTTAGTGCTTATACAAATACAAGACTTTAGTAGAATGTGTATCTATTTCAGTCCGAGGACTCCATGATTAATTAGGCAATACCAAAAATCTTTGCTGGTCAAACCATTCTCTCTACCCCTTTAACTCTACTGCCCTTTATGGTAACTGTGCTTTCCTGGTCTTTGGCGGTGAAATTCAGTCATTTGGTTCCTGCCTTTATGGTATTCCATATTCTCATTAAATTCAGGAAGCCCGGTTCAATGGCAGCATTTCCCAACGTCATTCCTGACATTTGCAGACTAGCCACTTGAGAGTTCTTTAGGGATTCCAATGCTGCCTTCAGCAATGAATTTTTCAAAGCCTTAGTGAAGGGAGTGCCTTCTAGATGGAACACTGAGGGGACATATGGAACAGGTGAGTGAACACATCTATCATATTAAAACCAATCTCCCTAAACATTTGTATACCTCCCTCTGTAGTACCTTATAGCAAGTATGTTTTAGCTTCTCAACTTCATTCAGTATAGACAACCATTGGGTTCAGTTTTCAGATAAATTGTTAGAATTACTCCCAGCCACATCAACTAATACTTTCTAGAATCTCTACTTAGTGAACCCATGTCAAAAACATTTAGGCTAATTCAACATTGTATGCTTTCCATCCTAACATAACCCTCTTAAGAAGCACCCCTGAAACACGTACTTTGGGTTTCAGTAAATATGAATTAGTGAAATCCTGCATTTCCTTTGATAGGTATGGTACCACTTGAGAAGTCACACTTTTTGTCTGCCCCCCTTAAATCTTCTGGGATTTGATCTGGATATGGATTTAGAAGACATGATAGATGTGGAACATGAGCCGTAGAGCTGAAAAGGTTTTATTTCAAGATAGTCAGTGTAAGCTTTCTAGGTCCCAGCTTAGTCTTTGAACTGTGGCTTTTAAACCTGATTTCTCCCTTTAACTTCTCTAGTCTTTTTAGGAGCAATGAATCAACCCCACAGTCATTAGTCTCTTTGTTTCTATTAAAAAGAGTTTATGCAGCAGGTACTTGCTTTCGATAGGCACTTCACTCCAGATGACAATAGGTAAGAATTTAAATAACCATGTTGGCATTTTGTGCCATGGATGACCTGTGTCCCATTTACTGGAAAAAGGGTCACTAATGTCATTGAGTCTAGTCAGAGCAGAGAACGAATTCCAGGTTTCATTTCTTAAAGTTTTCTTCCTTGGAAACATTTATTTTTTGTGCCGGTAATTGTCATGGTTCAGTCAGCCAAACAGTGCTGGAGTGTTATGGGATAACGGATCTGAATTCATAACATCAGGAGGAGCTGGGGAAGATCCATGAGAAGAGTTGGAGAATCAGGAGTCACCAACTGATCTGAGCAGCCAGGCACATCCAGGTAAGTATGACTATGAAAGGTTGACTGTAAAGATGTCTATAGGATGCTGCTGCCTCTGTATACCTCCCTTCTTTGTAGGTCCACAGCCAAACATCTGGTGGTGGATTTGAGTTTGCTGTTAGTCAGCAGGTCCAACAGTTGGAAAAAAGAAATGGGCATGGAGCTCAAGAAAAGGCCACTTGGGAACTGCCAGGCACCTGTGCCTCTGTCTATCCCCGCATCTGATTACAAAAAGACTTCTGGGTTAATGGATGCTGCTTCCATTTTGCCTTCCAAATGCCATGCAAGTTCCTCTTTTGGCCAATTCTAACCCAGAATCACACAAAGAAGGGGATTCTTGGAAATGTAGTTTGCTTTTTACCTATAGATAGATGACTAATATGAGTTTTATTTTTTCAGTTTGCTTTATAACAGAGACAACTGAGATGAAAATCCATATTCTTACTCTCTTAAAATAACAGTAAACCTTTTTAAGTGCTTATTATATCCTGAACATTCTGTTAACCACTTTACCTGTTAAACCTCACAGCACACTTGTAAGGTAGTATTAATATCTTCACATTGTGACTGAGCAATCTGAGGCTCAGAGAGTTTTGGTAACTTGCCCAAGCACACAGTTTAGCTGGATGTGGTAAAACCCCTAGGACTCCAAATTCTGTGCGCTCAGTTATCCTGATTGCCTCCCTTGTTCACCACTTTTGAAAATAGGTGCACAAGGACTTATCATCTCATCACAGACTTTCTTTGTATTTAAAACTATCCAACTAATTTTGAAATTCTCTCAGATAATTTTGATGAATCCCAACTGCTCATCTGAATTGTACAGGCTTTTCACCTGAAAATACTTTCAGGTATTTCAATAAGTTATTGTTACAAATTAGAGAGGAGGGGGAAAAGGAAAGAAAAGAGAAAAGGAAAGAGGTAAAAATGAAAGAAAATAAATGAAAGAGGAGAGAGGAAGAAAGGAAAGGTCACAGAATGAGAAGAAAGAAGAAAAAAGTTACTATGTAAAAAAGTTTTGCTTAGTGAACCATATTTAATTCTATTTTCACAATTCTCATAGTTCAGAAAACAATAATTCCAGATCCAAACTCAAGGGGAAATGATACTTTTATAAAAATTTTCTGTGAAGAAAGCAAATGCTTACCTGCATCCAGAGGGTTGAGAAGTACCAGATATCCACATTTCCACCAGATTGTCCCTGCAATATACTAGTAGTTCCTTTTTTTAAAACAAGGCAGAGAAGTTATTTTACTTCTTTCCTATTTTTATTAATTTCAGAGAAGAAGGGAGAAGGAGAGAGAGATAGAAACATCAATGGTGAGAGAGAATCATTGATCGGCTGCCTCCTGCACACCCCACATAGGATTGAGCCCGCAACCCAGTGCCCTAACCAGGAATTACTAGTAAACCATAACCTCCTGGTTCACAGGTGTATGCTCAACCGCTGAGCTATGCTGGCCAGGCCTAGTTCTTTATATTTCTTCAATATGAGTTTGTACATTAAAAAATAGCAGAACAGAATATAGAGAATGTCTGTAAACAGTTTTGGCAATGGGTTCCTTTTTCACTGAGCATGATCAACTAGAAAACAGAACACTAAGCCTTTTTTTTTTAAATCAAATTTAATTAGATTATCCATTTCCAACCAGAGTAGAACCATCTCATTTGTTGAGCAAAAAGCTTCATGAAGGTCTACAGAAATGATTCCAGGTGTGGAAGGAAGCATCCAATGGGTCCCTTTTGTGGTGTGTCACCTCGTACAGAGACTCATGAAGGAAACGTATGAAATACATAATCAAACACCACATGAGACTATAAACAAATCACCCTGAAATTCCAAAGGAAGGACAGTCATTCCTACTAAGGAACATATGCACAGGTTTTGTGAAAGAGAGGCTAGGCACTAGAGATGACCCATAAAGGATGCTTAGAGGTGGTCAGTAACCAGGTCTGTGGAGAAATGTTTCCAGACGGGAGGACTGACACAAGTAGAGGCACAGGGGGTGAGGTCGGGGTATGGCCAGTACAAGGGAGGGGGGAGAAGGACTGATTTCTTCATTGTCAGTCACGTGGGAAACCTACAGGGGTAGTAGTGAGAAACAAGAACTGATGGTTTGGGCGGGGATAGAAAGGATGGTGGGGAAAGAAGGAGAGTCTGAGACTAAACGACTTGTAAATGGAAAGACAGTATACAACCCTCTGGGCATCTGGAGCATGGTGGAGGAATCTGAAGGAAGGACGCCCAAGGAAAACTGAAGGTTCCTTTCACCCACCTCATAATTTGGCTAAGAAAAAGGCCTGGCCTAATCAATATGTTTGGATCTAAGTTCTGTGTCTCCACTTGCCAATATAGAGAGCCAAAAAAAAGTTAGGTTCTCCTTGAAGATGTTTGTTATTCCCCAAAGAATCTTTTAGGAAAAGCAAACAGCCTGAGAAATATTTGTTCATTAGATGTATTCTGGCAGCAACCAGAAAATTCCAGAAAGTACCAAGCACATGCACATAATACACTTGATTCTTGAAACAACTGATTTAACTGGTTATTGTCATTATAAAGTACTTTTATCCAGTAAATGTATTGATAAAACCACCCAGATGTATTTCTAATATTGTAAGACAGAGAGAGTGTTTGGTCCAAAAAATTCTTATAGAAAGTGTTGATTGCTTAATCCAGTTTTACAGTCATAAGTAGGACAGATGTTTTGGTTTGGGTTTTTTTAACACCCCCGTGCTTATTGCTATAGAGAAAGTCAGTATTCTCCAACGTCTTGCTCAATTCGAGAACATCCTGGCTTCTGATTCTTATATGGCTCTATGGCACTCTCCTGAAATGTGCTGCTGATATATTCCACATGTAACCATTCCCCCTGGAAGGGAAGCTTTCCTGCTGCGTCAGATGGGTCTACAGAGGTGCAAACAGAACAAACAATTTATGTCTTTTAGAACTGCTGACGTGTCTATCTTTTTGCCTTCTCGCAAGTGGGAAGGTTTTCTCTTGCCAATCAGTACTTTCCCACTGAGAAGTATGGGTTGCTTAAGGCAGAATGGCTTCAAGTAAGAGAGCTTATCTCCGTGAAAGTCATCATCGCTTCCTGACTTAGTACACTGTCTGTAGCTTCACTCCCACCTTGGCTCCCTGACCAGCAGATGGGTTCACTTAGGACAGCATGTCGGCCATGTTCCCACTTGGTTCCAAATGGACAGTGTGGACACCAAACACATTGTAGGAGTGTATGCGAGTAGGAAGAGTCTAAGGGGCCTCAGGTGGTGAATGGGTTAAGACAGTAGGTTGGGACACTAATTTACTGTAGCAAACTAAGCAGCAAATGCTTGCCATTTCTCTACTCAAAACGAAGCTGACAAGCTAAACACGATTAGGTTTCACCTGAGCCTGAGACTCTGGGAGTGAAAAGATGAGAAGAAACAAGATCTTGCCTATCACATTTGAGGCTGCGTGGGCAGGGCCAAGTCTGCTGGGTTAGCTTAGTAATGATCAGAGAGAAAAATTAAGTTATGTCTCTTTAGGTGACTATCTCATGTGCTCCAAATTATGGACCGTAATACTGAAATTCTGGCAGCCTTTCTCCGAAGAATAGCTCCTCTTTATTAACCTGTTATTTCTGACTCTGTATGGAGAGGCATTAAGTGCTACACATATCTAAGTTTGGCATCCTATTAATTTTAATGTGTAGCCCCATTCAAGCATTCTAACTGTGTGTGTGTGTGTGTGTGTGTGGTGAAAAACAAGGCAGGGTGCTGCATTGTTCCTGTGTGTTGATGTGTCATTTTGAGCGTGGCATCCGAGTGCAGCTGAGAGAGCTGGTTTCAGGTGCCAGTAGGAGAATCCTCGGACTCATTCATAATGGACGAGTCTGACGGGACCAGCCTCACTTGCCTTTGTTTCCTCCCTTAGACGAAGGGAGACATGGATCTCTCTGCTTTGCCAAATAACAACCATCCTGACAAATTCCTGCAGCTTGACGTGAAGTTGTTAATGAGGAACTCAGCCCTCCTTCAGGCCAGCCTGGTGAGGTTTCCGGGCGGGAACTACCCTGCAGCCCAGCACTGGCAAAACCTCGTCTACTCACAGGTACGGCCTGGGAGCCCTGGGAGCCCGAGGACGGGGACGGGGGCTCCTTTCTCGCTCTCTGCCAGCTCAGCATTTGTGCAAAAGGAAGGCTGGAGGGAACCGAGGGCAAGGTCGCTTCCTCATTCTTGCCACAGAGAAAAGGTCTTTCTTCCTTAACATAAGAGACTCTCCGATCACTTTATCAAAGATGTGAATTCTCCCACCCATTCATTCCCCTCCAACCATTAGCTTCCCAGCATGTCTTCATTTTAGAGTTTGCCTAGCCCTCACTTTACTTCTCTGAGGATTTTTCAAACCAATTTGCAAGTAAGGTTTTGGAGGGAAAAGCTACCTCCATTTTTTTGGTGTATTCTAAGCACAAAGCATCAGAAGCTTACATGGGAAGCTCATACACCTCATTCAGGTCAACTGCCTTTCATTTCATGCAGGAAAGACTCAGACAGCAGGAAAGTGGAAAGTTAAGGATGGAAGGAAAGGATAGAGCAGGAACTCCCCACCTTGTAAAGGTGCTGTCTGTTATTTTAGATACTCTTAGTCCCTCCACATAGAAGGACGTACCAACCACGTCTTCAAACCCAATGCAGACTTGATTTCTTGCTTTCTTCTTTTGCATCTTCCTTCCTTTTGCTGACCAGGAGAGAATAAAACTGTGATGAGTTCCATGTGCTGGAATAAACATAAAGGCCCTGACTGCTGCACAGCTCATGAAACAGGAATCATCTTTGTTTTAAGATGTGAGGGCTAATGGGGTTAAGGGTTAGTCCATTTAGAAACAGGAAGAAGCATTGCATTTCAGAACAGATGTGACTGACCCACAAACCCCTGCAAGTCATTAAATCCTTTGGAGTGGTTCAAATTCCCTGAACAGAAATTTGTTTTCTTTTAAGAAACAGTTGCTACTCATGAGTCCTGGTGTAAAGTGACTCCTTTGTGGTGCGTTTTGTGGGCTCCTGGGGACCTTTATCATGAGATCATTCAAAATCAAGTACACTCAAATGATTATGTAAGTGTTTCCTCCACCTATAAGGGTTTTAATTTATTTCCATGGTAAGGCAGCTTATTATGACAACTGACTTTTAAAAATTTTTGCATCTTTTCTATTTGGAATCCTCAAAACCCTTCTGCCCATCATATGCACCTTTTTGGTTATTACTTTTGTGTTTTGTTTAGTTTTAAGCTAAGTGCAATGAAATCCCTCCTTTTTCTTCCTTATTGTTTATATCATGGAATAAAATGATTCAAAAATCAGTTAAGAAAACCTTGGCTTCCCTATGCTATGAAGTTAAGTCTAAGAAAACATATCCAATAAATTCCTTTCAGGTTGGAACACATACATCTAACATCTTTTGTTTGGTACTGGAGTTGACCTATTTTCTTCATGTGGAACATGAAGTTCAAGCTTCACAGTTTCAAGCTCTGTTGAATGTTATTCCAAAACCTGAATGAAACACAAATTTTTAAAGGGTATATTTTTCCACAGCCTCTATTGGGTTGAAATAGTTATTCAAGGAAAAACCAAGGAGGTAAAAAAAAAAAATCTGCTTCTTATGTCCTTGAATAAATTATTGGTAATTGTAAACTGCAGATAAAGTTGATTTTGTTATCCTTCTACCCTAAAAAGAAATATTAAATGATTGAAAAAAGGCCAATTTACTATTGAAATAATGCATGGGGATGTAAATGGGTGTAAATCAATTACAAACTCAGGTAGTTGGGTAGGTGTAGCACAAATTATGAGTAACAACAATTATATTTACTATTTCAGATTGCAATGTGTCAATAAGTAATTCTCTCCTTGGCTGAATCTTAAAATCTGAGAGTGATATATTCATTGGATAAAAAGTAAATCTAAAAAGAAATGAACACACTAAATTTTTCAGTAACTATAATGATAACTGGAAGAAGGTGCTGTATATACCAAGTGAATTGAGGTGTTGGGATACACAAGGTGGCAATTGTCAAATAGTTCTTAATTTAAAACCCTTACTCTACTGGGGAGACATTACGCATTGAATAAAGAGGTTAGAAATTTGGCTTCTTGTGTCATATCCTCAGCAAGACAGTGTGAGAGACATCTGTTATGGTCCTTATTCAGTCCATGCTTCAGTTTATTTCCACTTGCAGAATTAGGATAATATTCATTTTACGTATTTCCTTAAAACTGAGAACAAATAAAATATGACAAAAGTAATTGAGAAAAAAGATTTTCTATACAAGTATAAGAAATGTACATTATTATTATCATCATTTGTCAATATTCAAAATGTGTTGAAATTATCCTTTCGTTATAATTTGGAAAACAGCAGATAATATCACTTGCATTGTTTGATTTATACTGTGGATGGAGGTGTGTATGTGTGTGTGTCTGTGTGTTTGTAGATGGTGGTGTTGGAGGATGTAGTTAATACATCTGTCAAGCTACATGGCTAACTCAGGCAGTAGATTTTATACTGACCTGAAATCCACACAAACTTCAGATTTGTGTCAGCTTATCATTTGGCATTACACCACCCCAGGTAGGTGCATGGTGTTTGGGCTCAGACTACCTCAAGGAATGCCAAAGGATTTGACCTACAAACATTGCCTTTAAAACCGCTGGTAACTCAGCAGTTAAAACAAAAATCCCCTAGATACCAAATATGAAGTTGAATTACATTTTGAAAATGAAATGAATTTTAATAAGCACTGTGTTTATAATTATTCTAAGTATGTATACATTTTTGGGATACCTTGTATGTATCATTTATATTCATTATTATTTGTTTTTAAGATTTTTAAAAATTCACATTCTACTTTCAGAGTTGAGTCCCTATGCCATTTTTTAATGAGCTGAAGCAATACGATGCATAAAGAAAAGTGAACACAGGTTCAAAGGCTTGCCAATGGCCCCAATCAACTCCCTTCTGCGCAGACACACAGGTCACCCATATTTGCAGAAAGTACAAGCAAATAACCCTTGATTCTACTATACTTTTATTCCTTAAGTTCTTTCACAAGAGGAATAAAGAAGCTTCACAACAAATTTCATCTCAGTGTACCGAGAAACTTTCTCCAAAATCTAATGTTTCTGGTTGTTAAAATTATTTGTGGCATGCATCTGATGAAGGCCCTCGGAATTGTATTCTACATATTTCTGCCAATCCCTTTAGAAAATGGGGCAATGAAAGGAAAGGGCTGATTTTTTATTTAGTTTAAATGATAAAATATGGTTTTGCAGATATTGCGGTGGGCCTTTTTTCTGATTAGTAGTTAGACTTCAGAATATTTTCTGACTAATGCCTTTGCTGTATCTTTTCTTGGCTTCTGTCACATCTGTTTCAGAACCCAGGAACATTCCTCACTAAACCTGAGAGCTGGAGCGACAGGCCCAGGGTAAGAGGCTCTTCTCCCTGTGACTTTTAGACACTGTTCTTCACTGGTTTTGTTTCTTAATCGCCTTTCCTTGCTTGGCTGTTGTATGCCCATGAAAAAGAAGTGAATTTGGTGAGTATCTAGCCAGGCTCTGCCACAGGCTATCATTCTGGTCAAATAATATATATCTTCCTTGCTGAACGGGGAAAGTGAAAGACGCCACCGTAATTCTAGGATCCTCTGGGAACAGTGTGTGTGGCCTTCTTCCTTGAAGGTGGGGAAGGTTGTTTGGGATGCTTCTGCTCTTGAAACCTCCTGATGCGTTGTTCTCTGAGGTCCGTGGTGCCATAGTCTAGGAGACATTCCCATGTTCATTGTTCTCTTTTTCCATATCAGAAGTGGGCCCTCCTTCAAGCCTGTGTAAGGATTCAAAGTTTGCTCCTATTCATGGATATTTGGAGGCCTAGGGTTATTTTTGTTGCCTTGTCTGTTTTTTTTTTAATTTCAAACAATCAAAAACTTTTAGGTGTAGGGTAATGGTTTCTTTGGTAAAACCTATCTTACAAAAATTAATAAGCTATTTGTTAGTGTGAGCCTTGCTTTTCTGCCTCCCTTTCTCTGTCCTTCGACTTGAGGACAGCCACCTGGCGGCTGTTAGGGATTCGTTACGAAACCACACCCTTAACGTGATCTTTATCCCGAGTCACTTCATTCAGCTGAGATGTGTTAATGGACTTCTTTGGCTCCATGCTTTTTAAAAAAAGTCTGTATATCAGTTTTGGGATCTATAAACATTCGGATTTTAAACAGTAGAAGGCATAAAATTTCTAAGCTTGCACACTGTCCAGTTCTTTCTCTCATCTCATCTCTTTCTTTTTTTTTTTTTTTTAAATATATTTTATTGATTTTTTACAGAGAGGAAGGGAGAGGGATAGAGAGTTAGAAACATCGATGAGAGAGAAACATCGATCAGCTGCCTCCTGCACATCTCCTGCTGGGGATGTGCCCGCAACCCAGGTACATGCCCTTGACCGGAATCGAACCTGGGACCTTTCAGTCCGCAAGCCGATGCTCTATCCACTGAGCCAAACCGGTTTCGGCATCATCTCTTTCTTGTATGACACCAATGCTCTGATTCTTGTAGTATCATTATATGTACATGAACACTCTGATAATATGTAAGTATTTCTCCTAGAGCTACAGGTGATTAGATTCCAGTGGCCACAGATGATACTTTCACCAAATGATTTTCATTTTAGGATGTGAATAGGCATCATTCTAGCTTCGGATATTGCTTTATCCTTTTCTACCACTTGACTGTGAAGCCAATGCCACACATTTGTGTGATTTCAAGATGCCACTTGTGTGTTAGGAGGGGTACAGTGGGCTATTCTGTGATGATAAATACCCCAAAGACTGCCAGTCACTATAAAGGAAAAACCATTATTGCTCATGAAAAGTCTGAGGAAGAGCAGGTGTGTTTGGGGGACAGCTCTTTCCAAGCAGTAACCCAAGGCTTCAAGTTCTTTGTGTTTGTAGCTCTGCCATCTCAGACCCTTGCTTACAGTGACAGAAAAGAAGAAAAGTGAGCCAAAAATCTTTTGGTAGATTTCAAGAGCCAGGCTTGGACGTGTAGCCTCTGTTATTTTGTGCATAAATGATCAACTAGAAAAAAAAGCTGCCTCCAGCCCAGTTGGTGTGGCTCAGTGGTAGAGCGTCAACGCAGGACCGAGGTGACCAGTTTGATTCCCAGTGAGGGCACATGCCGGGACCATGGGCTCAGTCCCCAGTGGGGGGCGTGTGGGAGGCAGCTGATTTGCTTCTCTCTCATCGATCTTTCTCTACATATATCTGTCTCCCTTCCTCTCTCTCTAAAAATCAGTTAAAACATATTAAAAAAAAGTTTGCCCCAGTTTAAATTCAAGAAGGGAAAACAAAATTGGTGTGCATTTAACCAATCACCATAATACCCAGCTCTCATTTGTTTACATTTGCCTGCTATATACTTTCTACCTTCATTCACTCGTATTCTTTCTGAGTCCTTATATTTTAGGTATTTCTCCTGTAAATATTACATAACTGAATTTAATGTTTAAGATAATCTGACAATCTGTCATCTAAATAGGGGGTTTAGTCTATTTACATTTAATGTGATTATTTCTCTCTTTTTTTTTTTTTCTATTTTCCTGAGGCATCCCCCCATTTTTTTGTTTTATTTCTCTTGTCTTATTTTTTACTTTCTCTTATATTTTTTTACTGTTTTACTGGATTAAGCAATACATGTTTTAGTAATATCTCTGTGTGATCACTGAAGTGATTCCTTAGTGTCCTCATTAAAAAAAAAAAAAAAAAAAAAAAAAAAGCCTGATACTCTTGTTACTGTTCAATGTTTTAGCTGTCTCTTATTTTAAAAATCATATGTTAATGATTACTATTTCTATTTACCATGAAATCAATGCTTTCTTAGATTTATACATATATTTATCAATTTTCTTTTTTTACCTTCTTGTTTTCTTGCTCAGCATTCCTTTTTGCATCTTATTTTTTCCTTCTAGTACTAATTTTATTCTGCCTGAAGTACATTTTTTAGAGATTCCTTCTTTATTGACCTATTAATGATATATTCTCAGTTTTTATTTGTCTAAATATGTCTCCTATTTTACTCTTTTTATTGAATGATAAGTTACTTATATATAAATGGTATAAATAATAAATTGCATAAAGAATAAATGGACTAAGTAATGGTTAATGCCAAAAAAGGTTAGGTAAGTTTTAAAATATTACTTTTTTACATAAATATTTTAAAATGAAAGTTATCTTAGAGTCCATATAACTAAAATAATGGAATTACTATTGAGTTTTCCTTTGCTAAATAAAATCTATCTAAAATGTAGATGAAGAGTTGTAATCAAATACATGCTTTTTTTCTTTCTTAAGCTATTTCAAAAATATTATCAAAGTATAAATGAACTCCAACCATAATTGGTACTTTTATGCAACCATCAAATTGTTAATAAAGCTATACTCTTAATTTTTAAGTATATGTCTTTCAGGCATGAGATTACCATGCAACACAAAAATAAATGGCACCATGTTTGAGGAGAAATCTCAGACTTTCATGAATGTGACTATAACTCTGATTATTTTGCTATGTTTTATATATTAGTTTTTCAAGGTCCTTATACATTGTAATAGCGTGTATTATTTTTTCTTTACCCTGAAACTGTTCCCTCATTTATGGAACTTCCTTGTTTAAGAAACTCAAGGAATAATCTAGCAGGCAAGAAAACTGACATAGCCAATTTATCAATGTCAGAAGAATTATTCCTCCTCAAAGATGATCAAAGATGTCTAGCCTTGAAGAAAAAAGCTTGAGTCAGAATTATGCTAATCTGAAATGATCTAAATTTCATATCAAATTGTTTTTCCTCAATTCAGAAACATTTTCATGAGGTCATCCATCTTAAAGAGAAATACTAAGTCAAGATGATTTATTATTTCACTGCAAACTTCAGTATTACAGAATATAAATTGATTCTGAGCACTCTAACAACTTAGTAAAGTCAGAGAAGATCTCTAAGTTTATCTCTAATTATGTAAAAAAAAAAGTATGGATTAAGAAAATTAGAAAAACCTAAGACCAAAGAGAATGTGAAAGGTTTTATACAGATGATTTTTTGAGACTACTAGCCATTACAAAAGGAAACTATGTAATATTAGTTGACAACTTAGCATATATAAATACATATTTAACATGACCTGCATGCCCCAGTAGATGCTGAGGGAATCAACCTATCGATGGTCATAAATATGACACAGAGGAATATTTATTGCTACTATTGAATCTTCTCTGTTTTGTGAAACACATTTTTAAAATTGCTATAAATTAATGAAATTTGCTGCCAGTTTTTAAGGGGTAAGCCTAAGTTTTCTGAAAATTAACTTATGTGGAATTCCTCTCCCTTGATGCCCCATGATAAATGAAGTATTATGCTATAAGTTTTTTGTTTCTTCTCAATTATATTTGGCCAATGAACAAATTTTAACTTAAACATTTTCTGCCTTCATGATAATTTTGTAGTCATAAGAAAAAAAAGGAAAGAAAAAAAACTGAGGTCAACTTAGATGAAAGGAAAGCACACATTATATGATTCCATTTCTGTAAAATGCAAAAAAAAAAAAAGAGAGAGAGAGAGAGAGAGAGTCCAACTGCCTGACACTGTTAAATTTGGAATACTGGTTATCCTTGGGCAGAGTGAGGGATAGTGACTGGGAGAGCGCATGAGGCATGCTGGTAATGTTCTGTTCCTTGCTAGAATCTTAAGGTTTATTTGGTTTGTGAAAATGTATTTATGACATATGTGCTTGTCTTTATGTATATTATGCTTCAATTAAAATGTTTTTTTAAAATCTGAAGGTCAATATTAGAGCCATCTAATAGCCAGCGTGTCTGTAGACACAGATAGGAGTGCTATGCTAACTTAGTCCATTTCTCCAAGATATCTGAAATAAGAGTCCCAAGAGAATTTTCATGAAAGCCAAGGCATGTCTATAAATGCCTTTTAATCTTGAATTTGCTGGGTTAATAGAGCAATATTAAATATTATTCTTATCAGTCATGGAATGCACAAATAGAAATGAAATGTCATTAAATCTCAGTGCAAGCGAGCTGGGGAAAATGGCTTTGTTCAGAATTCTACAATTTGAATTAAAGAACAGTATTCTTTCTCCATAGTTATAAAATAGCATTTTAATGAATGATTACTGAAGCCAAAAAGATTATAGGCAAAGAAAGAACTCAATTGCCCAGCCGGCATGGCTCAGTGGTTGACTGTCAACCTATGAACCAGAAGGTCACGGTTCGATTCCTGGTCAGGGCACATGTCTGGTTTGTGGGCTCGATCCCCAATGTGGGTAGGGTGTGCAGGAGGCAGCCAATTAATAATTCTCTCCCATCATTTCTAGCTTTCTCCCTTTCCCTTCCTCTCTGAAAGCAATAAAAACATTTTTTAAAAAGGACAGAAAAGAAAGAACTCAATGAAATAGAATTCTAGGTCAAACTAGATCCCAGACTCCTTTCCTCATTATCCTAATCTGTTGGGTTTCCAGGCAGAATCAACACATTTTGGGGTATAGTTCTTTCCTACTATATTTTCTGTCATCAGTGGCCCGCTGGTAAGAGAAGCCTTGTCTCTGCCTCCTAACAGAGAGGAAAGAAGAATATTACTGCTCAGCGAATGAGGGCGTCCAGTGTGAAGGGTGCTGTCTTCGTAGACAGGCCCCCACCATCTCTCTCGTCAGTTCTGAAGAATAACCCACTATATGGCGACGTAAGCTTGGAGGAAGCTATGGAAGAAAGGAAAAAGAATCCTTCATGGACCATCGAAGAATATGACAAGCGTTCCCTGCACACAAACCTTTCTGGACATCTGAAGGTACTCAAGGCAAAGAGCCAGTTCTTCAGTTGAAGGGGGAGATCAGTTAAATATCCTAAACAACATCGGTTTTGAGGTGACAGGCATTCTTCCCTGGGCACAAAGCCTCCCGGTTTCAGGCCATTTTAGCCTCTGGCTTCCCCTGTTCTCTCCTCTCTCTGGGTTTATTTATTTGTTTTGAGTTTTACAACAAGTTTGATGTGGCACAGAAACAGGGTTTACCTGGAAGGTAAAAGTTTTTTGAAAATTAGCTTGCCAAATTATGTATGTTTTCCCATGGTTGTGTGACCACTTGTGTTCATGAATACTTACGAATCTCTTGTTCAACATGTATGCAAAAAATATTGATTCAATGTCCTGTCTTCGGCACTGTGCAAAGCAGTTCTCATCAAAGATCATTTCATTTCAAGCCCACCCGGTGATTTAAGATTGCAGACTTACATTTTGGACTCTTTCCTGTGTCTCAGTAACAAAACAAACCAAAACAAAACAAAAGCATTTCAACACAGGAAAAATATGCAATGAACTCATTCACCCAACTTATTTCCCCCCCCCCCACCCCACTTGTATCCCACACCCAGTGTCACCCATCACATAGAGGATCTAGAAATACCTGAAAAGCAGGAGAGTGGCCCTCTCTTTTCTGAGTTGGTCTGGATTCCTTCCCAGCCTCTGCTTGCCTCTTGCTGCCCTGGAGCCAGGAAGGCCTGACGGTTTCCAAGTACCCTTTATGCATATCTGTTCATACATTAAGTATCTAAAGACTTTTGCAGGGAACAGCCTTATGTCCTCTTAAAATCTTACACTTCAAAAATCTCAAATGTGCACTCCTTGAAATATCTCATTGTCCGGAGTGTTTGAAGTTTCTTAATCTCCTCGTAGATGTAATGTATCTCCTCCTTAATGTAGTCTCTTTTCCAGAGAAGTTTCCATAACAGATGCTCCCCCATAGCAACAATAATCATGTGTTTTTTATCAGGAGCCTGAAGATCAACCTCTAAGAAGTCACTTCCTACAAGTAGGAAAAATGTATTGATTTATTTCGCAAACATGTCTTGACTGTAGAACCAGAAAGAGCAACAAGATTGAGAGAGAGGACTGTGCCCATCATGGTTGTAGAAAGTGCTGTGCAAAGTCAGAAGAGAACAAAACCACATTGGATTATTAAAAGCCTCGTGAAAAGTTAATTTATGCTGGATTTGACAGACGTAGAGAACTCAAAAGATATAGATGGTTTGCTTAAGTGTGTGGGGGGGGCTCTTCTGTCAGGCGTAGCAAGAGGAAATGCGCAAGTACAAGAAAGTTAGAGAATTTGTCAGACTAAGCAGTCTAGCTTTGCTGGCGCTACAGCTAAAGTAATAGAATAATGGGAAAATAAGGCTAAAACAGACTAAAAGAAATTGTTTGAATGTAAGAATAAGGAAATTGAACATTATTGGCAATGAGAAGTAATTTTTTTGTTGAACAATTCCATGAGTTATGTTTAAGAAGCTCAAACATGAGGATGATGGCTATATTGCTTTTCTATAACCAGGGTCTACCCCCTCCCTCCATCCTCTACATGAAATCGCTCACTGCAAAGCAGTTGCCCCTCAGGTCACAGGCTCATTTGCATTCTTGAGGGATGTTTCTGGAAGTCATGACTTTTGTTTTGATTATAATTTCTTCCTATTTATGAATGCCTCATTAATTCAACTTCTCCCCTCACCTTTCCCTATTCATACCTCTTGTTTAGCAGACAGAGCCCCTCACTTATTTCTGAAAACTTTTCGCCACCATGGGTCATAAAAGTTTAAAGTTTCTTGGGCCACTCTCTTTTTTCTAAATTGCTAAGAATATATATATATATATCTCCTTTTCTCCTTTCTTATTTATAAACTAGAGTCCCGGTGCATGGATTTGTGCACCAGTGGGGTCCCTAGGCCTGGTGCAAAAGGATAGATGCAAAATGTAAGAATGCAAGAAGAATTTAGACCTCCTGAAGAATCCCACATATCCTTCCCCACATCAACTCCTACACTCCATGTCTGTTTCTTTCACAGGCCTCATCTTCCTTTCTTCAGAATTCTTCAGGAGTTTCTGCAAAATGCAAGAATGCAAAACAGCCTAAGTGACTGTTACAAATGAACGACCTGAATGACCAGAATGACCGGTTGAACAGTCTCTATGATGTGCACTGACCACCAGGGGGCAGACGCTCAATGCAGGAGCTTCCCTCTGGTGGTCAGTGCGTTCCACAGGGGGTTTGCCACTCAGCCAGAAGCCGGGCTCATGACTGGTGAGCGCAGCTGTGGCAGCGGGAGCCTGTCTCGAGTCTGCGGCAGCACTACTGAGTGGCAGCAGCGGTGGCAGGCACAGCAGGCTGGGATGAGCATGAGCAGCACGGTGCTGGCTTGGGCTCCTCCCTGGCTGCCTGCTGCTTGGCACACTGCTACATCCCCGGAGAGGTCCTGAATTGTGAGAGGGCGCAGGCCAGGCTGAGGGACCACCCCTCCTCATGCAAGAATCCATGCACTGGGCCTCTATTATATATATAAAAGCGTAAGTGATCTTTCAACCATTCGACCATTCGACTGGTAGCTATGACATGCACTGACCACCAGGGACAGATGCTCAATGCACAAGCACAGAAATATGGAATGGACTGATGAATCTCAAAGGGGAGGGGAAAGGAGGGAGGGCAGGAAGAGATTAACCAAAGATCTTATATGTATACTAGAGGCCCAGTACACAGATTCATGCACTGGTGGAGTTCCTCAGCCTGGCCTGCAGGGATCAGGCTGAAACTGGCAGTCTGACATCCCTCAAGGGATCCCGGGTTGCGAGATAGTGCAGGCCAGCCCTAGGGACCCCACCGGTGCACGAATCCATGCCCCGGGACTCTAGTTTATAAATAAGAAAGGAGAAAAGGAGCCCCATATTTAGCTATGAAGGGAAGCTTTAAGCAGAATTCTGGAAGTCCTCACTGAAGAATGGAGGCAATTAACCTTGCAGACAAAGTGCAGGCTGCTGATGAGGACACACACTAGGGCAAGAGTAGAGTAGACAATTTAAATCATCTATCCTTTTGCACCAGTCATCCAAATTTTATTTTAATACTTTAGCATTCCTAAAACTAAAATTGAAACTAGTAGCAATGTGATGGAAGAGTTGTATTGCCATGGCCAGAATCCATCCAGCCCCCTGCAGGCATGCACATTGCCTCTTACTGGGCATTGGTGAGTCTGAAACTAGTTCACTGACCCCGAAGCTGCCATGGAAATTGGCTGATTTTAAGTCCACTGAGTCTAGAGAGTGAGAGAGAGGGTGGGCAGTCCAACTGCAAGCTATTGCAGTAATTCAGGTAAGAAATAATGAAGTGGGTTTTTAAAAACTAGAGTTTCAGCATTCACCATAAATTTGTTGTATGCTTACTGGAATCCAGGCAGAGACACTGACTCTTTAGCACTGAACATAGCTGGATAGAATAGAAGAAAAAAAAAATTAAATGTATGACCAGTAGAGTTCTCAGGTGATTTTTTTGGACATAGGAATGAGGTTGAGTTGAAGACAATTCTTTCCAGCTGAAAGGAAGATGAGGCCCATGAAAGAAACAGACATGGAGTGTAAGAGTTGATGTGGGGAAGGATATGTGGGACTCTTTCTTCAGGAGGTCAAACAGTGCCAAAGTTCTGCACGTCAAACATGCTGTCACCCTCTACAAGGGGGACCAGCAACCTAAAAGGCATGGAAGGGACCCTTGATTCTTAGTCTTACTCCTCCTCCCATGTAAGTCAGCTCCTGGATTTACTGAAAACTCATCACATATGTTTATCTCTACCTTGCCAACTAAATCAAACCTTGAAGGCTCATCTAAAGCAAGGGAGGAATTTTAATTTTATTTCAACTCACTTACCTGATTGGCACACACTATTCATGAGATGTAAGAGGCACTAAATTGGCATAAAAGACGGCAGAAACACTTGAGCAATTTAGTCAGTAAATCATGCAGGCCTCCTAATGCATTCTCATGCAGACCTATGGCTTGGAGCCACAGGGATTCCTGGTCAGCCCAGAGGCTGCACTTCCGTGTGGGTGCTGTTCACGGAAGCCTAGCCTCTCTTATTTGAATCATGACACTTCAGCCTCACCCAAGACAGTGTGAACATGGGCCTTTGGTACCTCTGGCGGCGCTTTGTCTACAATCTTGTATTGATCACTGATTGAGCCTATTCTTCATGTAATTTTCTTTTAGGAAAATCCTAATGACCTACGGTTTTGGTTGGGAGACATGTACACGCCCGGTTTTGATACCTTATTGAAAAAGGAAGAGGAACAAGAGAAGCATTCAAAATACTGTCGAATAGGTCTGATTTTGCTCCTTGTTGCCTGCATCTTGGTTTCCATAGTGACTGCTAGCACATTTTTCACCTAAAGAAACTGCCACAGACACAACCACCTGAAATTTCTTAAAAATCTTTTCAAATAAACATTTGCAGAAAAACATGTTCAGGTGGTGTGAGTGTATTGTTGATTGCTTGAGATTTGTTGGCTTTCCCTACTTTGTGCTCTGAAACCTGGGTAAGAATCCCAGTCCGAACTTTGTCCTTTGGGAAGGAATGCTGGGGATTGAAACCACAGAAAGTTACTATGTACAACCCAAACTAAACACTGAGAGAGAGCAAAGCAGCACCAACAATTGTCAACAGTTTTGTCTTACTGCTCAAACTACATTCACCTTGTCTTTAAAGCACTGTTACCTTGCTCTCCCCCACCCCCACCCCATCATTCCTAGGAAAGTTGAGCAGGTCATTTTTTGACCAACTGCCAGCCACACAGGGTAAAAACTTCTGGTTGTGCTGCCTATTGAGTTGAGTTCTGCTGTTTTATCTCCCTTTATTCCTGTTTAAGCCAGAAAAAAAGAGGAGAAAGTGAAGACTTCCTTTAAATGTATTGCTATTTCCCCAGTAATCCTTTGTAATGCCTCTGTTTCATGCAGTAATTCCAGTAGACCTAAACTTAGACAGGCCGAAGTTATATAATTGATTACATTTAGAGCCAATTGTGCTCATGAAGTGATCCAAATTGGTGAGTGGTGGCCCCTGGTGGCAGGCGGTGAGAATGTCTCACCAGCCATGGCTTAGGAAGGAAGGCCCTAAAAAGCAGAGGAAATACTGTGAAGAGAACAGGATTTGAACCCTAACTGTGCCATTTGCTAACTGTTGGACCTGGGAAGTTATTCTCCCCCAAGAAGGGATAATATTGTCTTCCCAACAGAGCTTGCCTAAGGACTAAATAAGAGACATAGGTAGGAGCAATGCCTGATTCCCAGTGAAGTAGCTCCATAGTTGATGGCAGTTGTTGCTACTGCTATGTGCTAGCTTATTGGCACCCTGGAGTCATCTTACGTTGCCTGCAAATACCTGGGGACATGGTTCTGGCCACAGATGAATAAAGTCACTACCCCTCTCTTTCTCTTAGAACTCCCTTCCCTCATCTCCACTCCTTTTCTTTCAACTCCCCCAGCCCCCACTATGTTGTGCAAGAAACAACAAAGGTACTTTTTCCATTTCTCATTAGTCAGATTTTGCCCTTTGGGGTCGCCATATCATTTTGTTGTATTTCTCTTAAAGATACTTGAAACAAAGTCCGTCAAAGTGCAGCTATACTGTACAATAAAATCATTGCGCACAAAAATTGTCGTAAGCATTTGCAGCCTTTAACGTCTTACTCCTCCACTCCTCTATGACAGGTTCCAGTCCAATTTAGAACTGAAACAAGGAGAAATGAAGGCCCAGGGGACTCTCTGAATGCAGGTCCACTCTCCCTGTGCACACCTCCTGGACAACCGCTTGCTATTACAGTTAACCCTTAAACAACACGGGCAGGAGCGCCAACCCCCACACAGATGAAAAATCCACGTATTACTTTTGACTGCAGTTGGCCCTTTGCTTCCACAGATTCAACTAACCGCAGGTTGAAATCAGTATTTCTGTCTGCGGTTGGGGATGTGAAAATACTGTTTTCACCTGCTGCTGGTTGAATATGCACATGTGAAACCCATGGAGAGGAAGGGCCAACTATGGATCAAAAAAGATCCACCTACAAGGGGACCTGCACAGTTCAAATCTGTGTTGTTTGAGGGCCAACTATAGACTCTGTTTTCAAAGCTTCACTGCCCCGTGTTGGCTTCCGAGGAATTCAGACATGTTCAGGTTTCTGCTACCTGTGGGAAGAGTCCGTGCCGCAGCAGGTTGCTTCTGGCCATCCACAGGTAAGGCTCTCAGCACTGAGCGGGGCAACCACAGGAGTCCAGAGCTGCTCAGCTGAACTCCTGGCCCATCTCATTCCCTTCCCTTCTGCCGAGTCAGGCCCCGAGGACTCTGCTCGCTCTGGCCCCATTCTACTCTCATCTCTCACCTCTCACCATTTCTATTTCAGCATGAATGAGTTATCACCTTGCTAATGCTCCCTAACCAATCTTTGTTGTTAGCCTTTAATGTCACTATAGAATCAAACTATATTATTACCCCTCACTGTGTTAATGTTATGCAACTACACGAGAGTGAATGCCATGAATAGAGAGTACATCCCTGTGTGCACTCGAAATCATACCGTGAAAACAGTTCCAATTTCTGCAGTATGGGTTTTGCAATGGCTCAAGCAGGGAAATTATAATAAGGCCACAGAAAATACAGAGATGATAGCCCTAAAAAGCCTTACGTTAAAATCTAGGTTTTCTTACAAAGTGCTGATCCAGAGTCAATGAACTAATGTTTTAAAGCATTTTAATACAATCTTTGCCATATGATAGGAGGTCAATAAATAGTATTATCTGCAAAAAAGTGACTATTTTAACTATTTTAGTCACTTTTTTTTTCTAACTTGGGGTAAGAATGTCTAGACTCCATAAATTCTTAAGTAATAATGGTTTCAAATAGTAATCTTTCCCAGGTTCTTTAGAAAGCGAACCCCCGCAAAAGTTTTTTTTTTATATTAGGTTAATGCGAGGGAGGCCAATAGCAAATAGTATTGCATATTCTAGATCTAGATCAGTGGTTCTCAACCTTGGCTGCACATTAGAATCACCTGGGAATCTTTTTAAAATCCTGATTTCTGGGCCTCATCCTCCGGAAATTCTGGTTGTTTTTTGTTTTGTTTTGTTTTTTTGTTACTAATGTTGTGGCCCCACCCCATAACAAAGAAACAGAATTTCCGGAGGATAAGGCCCAGAAATCAGGATTTTAAAAAGATTCCCAGATGATTCTAATGTGCAGCCAAGGTTGAGAACCACTGATCTAGAGGAAAGAAATCCAACTGTGGATACTTTTTAAATTGCTACTCTCAAGGGCATGTGAGATCTTGCTCCCCAGCATATGTGTCAGTTTGGCTCAAATAAACTTATCAAAATTCAAAAATAAAAAGCAAAATGCAGCTCTCATGTTTAAAAGAAAGATTGAATTTATGTGACTCATTGAAGGCCATCGCATTACATACGTGCTGCTGTCACCTAGTGGAGAGCTTAGTGAGTGGAAGACAAAGAAAAAGGGCTCATGGCTGCTCTTTATTCAGCGTGCACTCCTGCCATCTGGTGGTGACGCGTACTGGGCCTGCTCTGAGCCAATGAAAAAGCCTTTACCAAAGGGACATTGTGCAGGTAGGGGAAGGCCTAAGTATGCCTCTGTGATCAGAATCCGTTCCTTTGGGTGGCCAAGGATGCCTTGAAACGTCCCCCTTGCCACCAATAATTTTAATACCCTCTCAGCTTGTAAGAAAAGAGATAGACTGTCCTAGAGTCAGACCAACACTTGAAGGCAGAGATGGGAGCCTCAGCATATACTCCTGACCCTGTTACACAAAATATGCTAAAAGCAGAAGTATTCTGAGAGCCAGCCTCATTCCTAACCTCAGCTTGGTTAAGATTTTGGGGATATTTAATAATTTGGTGCTTGTTTTAGATATGCTATGATCTGAATTTCTATATTTTTACCTCTCTTGAGAGTTTCAATATTTTTAATTCCTCTTTTTTCTGTACCCATTCTTTATGATCAGTTGTTAAATGCTCCCCTCATATAATTAAAGATGTAAGTTTATCATAGGTGAGAAATCATTTTTAAACTGTCATTAGATGGGGTTGTGAAATCACAACCTCTTTAGATTTGTACTTACATACCCACAGAGACTAACACTGCTTTTTAGAGGAAAGATAACTTTTTTGGTTCCTTCCAAATAATCACTTAGTCCAGGTTCTTGCCAAACTTGAGGTTAGAATATTCAACCAAAGTGAGCAACTTCAGGAATGAAGCGCAGCTCTCTGCCAGGCAGTTCTGCTCTCGCTGACTCCTGTACCTGCTCAGATTTCACTCTCTGTGCAGATTGCTGGGAAACATCAGGACCAAATTGGGGCCCTCTCTTCTTAAGAAGTGCATGGACGTCCCGTGTGCTTCTGTCCTGTCCTCATTCACGGCTCTATCTCATAGTCTGTCCTCTGCCTCAGCTTCCTCCCTGCTTCAAATCTCTGGTCTCTCATGGTACTCTATTTTTGCTCAGTGTCTTGGACCTATTGAAGAGATAGAAAGTAAATAGAGATGGAGCGTAGAGAGAATTATATGTGTGCATTTGATATATATATATATATATATATATATATATATAATGCAAAAGGCTCTCTTTCAAAAGAAAAATTTGAAATTTAAAAAATCTTAAAATAAATAAATTAATTTTTTAATAAAAAATGATTTCTAAGTTTATTTGCCCAAAGAAATGTGAGTCACGATTCACACAGGTTTGCTTACGCATACTTACTGTTTTCAAGTTCCTGACAAAGAGAACAAAGTAAGAATTCTTCTTAAGCTAATTAAAATGTGTTAGTTTTGCCAAATTATGAAATAAGTATTAAAATTCCTCATGTTTGAATTAGCTTCAAGTTGGTAGGACATTGTTTAGATTAATTGTCTGAATAATAAGACATTGGCTTGGCTACATTTAAAGCTTTATCAGTCACTATAAATGCAACAGCAGTTAACTCAGCTTCTTTCTAAAAATACATTATTTAAAAGCTGACACATTTAGAATCAACACTTAAGGGTGAAAATAATTTCACTGTCCCTCCTGCCATTGTGTTCTTCTTAAAAATGTAATGGTCACAAACCTCTTTCATTAATTCTAAACATATTTTTAAAAAGCATTTGATTTTGCATAAATGCACAACTGTGGGAGCCATTTTTTGAGTTATTCAGAGAGACTCCCAGTAGATGCCCTTGGGCAGCCGTCACCCCATCCTCCCACCCACACACCTGCACCTTTCTGTCCGGCCCTCACTGGAGCTGTCTGCGGCTAATGTCAATGCAACAGACACATTCATACTTTTGACATTTCCTAATTTCCCAACCCTTCCACTGCCACGACCTCATTTCATCTCAACTACAATCTTGTGAGATTAAGCATTAA